TGTTTGGGGGTGTGTGTGTTTTGTGTGTGTGTGTTGTATTTGTGGTGTGTGTGTGGGGGTGTGTGGTGTTTTGTGTTGTTGTGGGTTTTGTGGGTTGTGTGTGTGTGTATGTGTGTGGGTTGGTGTGTGTGTGGTGTTGTGTGTGTGTGTGTTGTGTTGTGTGTGTTTTTTTGTGTGTTATTTGGTTGGGTATGTTGTGTTGTGTATGTGGGTGGTGTGTGTGTGTGTTGTGTGTGTGTGTTGGTGTGTTGTGTGTATTGTGGGGTGGGGGGTGGTGGTTGTGTGTGGTGTATGTGTTGTGTTAAGTGTGTGGTGTTGTGTGGGGTGTGTTGTGTGTGTGTGTGTGTATTGTGGTGTTGTGTGTGTGTTGTGTGTGTGTGTGTTGTGTTTGTGTGTATTTTGTGTGTGTGGTGTGTGTGGGGTTTGTGTGTTGTGTTGTGTGTGTGTGTGTGTTAAAGTGTGTGTTTGTGGTGTGTGTGTGTTTTGGTGTGTGTGTGTGTTGTGTGGTGTGTGGTGTGTTGTGTGTTTTGTGTGGGTTGTTGTGTGTTGTGTGTTTTTTATTGTTTTTTTTGTTGGGTGGTTTGGTTTTGGGGGTTTTTTTTTTGTTGGTTTTTTGGGTTTGGTTGTTTTTTTTTTTTTGTATGTTTGGTTTTTTACTCACCCCTTTTTTTTTCCAATTGTGGGCAGGGGGGAACTCCTCCTGGCCCCCTTTCCCCGGCCCCTGGTCCCTTTCCTTTTTCCCCCCTTTGAACTTCTCTTAAAAATTTTTTCCGCCCCCTTATTCCTTTCTCTACCCTTCTGCCCCATGGAGTATTCCCAACTCCTGTGACTTCCCGATCTTTGCTTCCAGTTTTTACCCCCCGTCCCCTTTCCCCCCCTAACTCCTATTCCCTTAACCGTTTTTTCCCCGCCGTATCGTATGCCTTTTCAAATGTCTCCCCGACCCCCCTTTTGTTTTTCGCTTTTGGTTTCCCAAACCCCTTTTCCCGTTTTTTTGGCCCCTGGGATGGCCTTTTGAAAACCGTCTTTTCCTAATTTTTTGAGTCTTGCCATTGGGGGGGCCGTGGTCTCTACTTAGGGCCCCAAAAATACACATGGGATGTTTTTAGACCTTTTTGGACAACGCTTTTTCAGGTTTTTCAGGGCGCCCTATTCGCGATTTTTTTTCCCTAGTCTCAGAGGCACCCCAAGGGCTTTTCCCTAGGGGGCGTTTTCTTTTTACTGCCCAACCTTTTCCCTTTTTGCCCCTCCCCCCCCCCCAAATTTGATTTCTAGAAACAGAAACGTTTGGGCCCCATTCCCCCTTCGGCTTCCCTTTAGTTGCCTATCCTCGTCCCATTTTTTTTCTTTACCAAGCATCTGCAAAGGGGAACCCAACATTTTCCCTTTCCTCTTCGTTACTTTCAAAAATCAGGTTGGAATACCCGGGGGCCCCCCCGAACAGGGGTTTTTATACTTTTCCCTCCAGTGTTGCCCTCCCCCGGGGATTTTTCCTTTCCATTGCAGGCCCTTTTTTAGTGGGCCGTTCCGTTTCCCTTCTTTTGGGGAAATTTCAAAGGCTTCCCTCTAGGAAAAGCCCCTTCCCCAATTTCTGTGGGGGCAAACCGACCTTTTCTCTCAGGATTTTTGGAAAAATTTGCCCCCATGCCTGGGTTTTCATTTAAAACTTTTCCTTTCCAGGTGTTCGACCACCCCTTTTGGTAAAATTTTTCCCCGATTTCCCCCTCTGTCCACAGGCTTTTTGTGTGTTTTCTGTTTTTTAAATATGGGGACTCATTTCGCTTCCTTTTGGTAGTTGCCCCTTTGGGGATGTGGGTTTGGGGTGGTTAGGGAAACCCCGTTTCTGCCCTTTGGACCCTGGGGAGTTTGTCCGGGGTTTCCCCAGGGTAAGGTCTTAAAAGGTTTTCCCCCCTGTTGTTGTTGTTCCCCGTGGGTTTTTTGGCCCCTTTTTGGGTTTTCCCCAAACCCTCCTCTTTTGGGGTTTTTGGAAGATCTTCGAAGTACAATCTGGGTGGTAGTTTGGCTTGGGTTTTGGGGGGCATTATATGTAGTCGTTTCATGGAAAATTTGGGTCCCCCCTTTTGCATGTTTTTTCTGTTTTGGGCTTTCCCCGGTGGGTCCCGGCGGGGTGGTGTTGGGGGGCCCCCGGGTTTTATGGGGCCGGGGGAAGTTCCCCTTGGGGGAAATTTGGCGAAAACCCACTTCCAAATTTCCTTTTTTTTTCTTGGGGGTTACTTTATTTTTTGCCTTTTCCCAAAAATTTTTTATTTCCTTTTTATATTTGAAATTTTTTTTAATTAAAAAATTTCTCCCCCCCCCTTCCCCCCGCCAACGCCGGGTTTTTGTTTTGGGGTTTTATCTCCCCAGGGAGGGCTGGGCACCCATGGGGGTGAACCGGGGAAATTTTCACATTTTTTTTCTTGTTTTACCCACGAAAAAGGGGCCCCCGGGTTTGGGGACTGGGGGGGTGTTTTTACCTCCCCTTTTTTTGGGGAAAATA